TATATATATATATATATATATCACATTTTATAATTTTATATATGCATTTTAAAGACGAGGAATTTTTATACAATTAACACGTTAATTAGAAAATTATAATTCTAAATTGTTGATTATAAAAATTCGCGAAAAAGAGGAAGTTGTTCTTTATCCTCTATTTTCTTTTGTCACGTTACGCAATAGAAAATAGTAGAATACACATGTTCTCATATTAAATTTAATAAAGAATAAAAAAATTTAGTAAAAGCATCCATTTTTTTTCTCATGTTTACGTAAGAAAAATAGTAAAATTTTCTCATTTCACATGTTCGACACGTTTCTCATGTTAAATACAATAAAATTTGATAACGCAAAATACTATGTAAAACATTAAAACAGTCACATATTTTAAGAGAATGTATCAAAGTGATTTAATATGTACTGTCGAAAGTCTCCAACGCGGGATGCTCCGTCGACGTTATCACATCTTGACCTGTCGCTTCCGCGAGTCCAGCACAAAATAACATTCCGATAAAAGTAATGCCCATTATATCAACGCAATAAAATTGCTTCATATTTATTAGCTTTGCTTTCTTAGTACTTGATCAGAAAGACGTTGGATCTCAGAGATATCTTTTCGCAACTTTGAATGGCGAACCCTTTTCTCTCGGTCGCGAATCCTCAACTGGCGAGTGGCGAGTCATATCAATCGTATCCTATTTTTCTGCTGATACTGCGAAGTATGACGAAATACGTCTTCTTCTTCTTCTTCTTCATGGCACCGCGAGAACCGGGAACTCCGGAAACGGCGGAAATTGGAAAGTACCTACTTACTACGTGATTTCGTGCTGCTTGACTGAGATATCGAAAGGAGTTGTTGCAATCAAAACAAGATAAATATATATAAATATACGAGTGTTGGAGAAAGAGAAAGGGATTCTGAGTGCAAAAAGTGCAAGCAACACGAACAGTCCTACGTTTTTTTTTTTAACGACAGTGTTGTTGCGCAGGTATATAATATACGCTGAAAAAAAAACAGCTACGCAGTGATAATATAACAATAAACGAGCTATTGTTTAAAGAGTTGCAAAATTAGCTTGGGGAAAACCCGCCAAATTCGGATCGTCCACAGAGTGCAACAAGTATAGATCGCGCGATGGGCGAATGGGCCCGGTGGTAATTGAAGAACGATGACATTACCAACCATTTTGACTCTACCGAGGATAACAAACGCGATCGTTTTACGTGACCAAATCACTGTTTTATCGACTGTAATAAAGCAGAGATTGCGGTTTGTTATCCTCGGCGCAGCCAAAATGGTTGGTAATGTCATCGCTCTACAATTACCCTCCGGGCCCCACATGACAGCAGTCATGAAGATCTGCCTTTGGCGGGCCGCCTTTAATAATTATACCGTCGTCGGTGATTATGTATATTTCCCGTAAAATGGACAAGTAAAGGCCGACGTGTGCGAGGAGAGGAAAGAGAGAGAGACAGCGCGACAGAACGAATCGCGGGTATCGCGGGAATCACCGTCGCTCGCGATTGAAATATTGGAAATCGCGATCGCACATATGACGTGCCTAGAACATAGACGAGAAGATCAGATTATGAAGGGGTGGAGGGCGGACGGCGGAGGGTGAGTCGCGAGACGGTAGCAGCAACGACAGCGTCGTCAGCAGCACTAGGTAGCAGCATTCGCAGGAGCAGCCAGCAGCAGTAGCAGCAGCAGCGAGTAGCAGGAGCAGCAGCAGCAGCAGCGGCGGCGGCAGCAGCGATCACGACGGCGACTGCCATCTTGAGCGTGACGCGCAACTCAGAGGTCGTGGGCTCCACCAGTGACGAAGCCACTGGAGTTTTGACGTGGCTGCTACGTACCTGCCCGACTGCCCACTCCGATTGCAGCAAACTTGGTGACGAGAAATACGTAACTGGTAAGTGCCCCAGCTGGAGAATAATAACAATCGGGACCCCGTGGACCAGCGCGTGGCTCCTCGCGCACCGCTCGGGGATCGTTGTTGCGCGCGAGGCGGAGCAGCGCGTCCGCCGCGCGACCGCCGCTTCGCGTTTCGCACCTCGCGTTCGCCCCGCGGCCGCGCGACGCATACCCCGCGCGTTTTGCCCGCTCGTCTGCTGCGCTTAACCGTGATGCCGCGAAATATGGCGACCCGACGACGGAGAGAGAGAGAGAGACCGCGCGCATCCGCGTACGCTCGCCCGACGGACGGCCGAGCACGAGGTGTGTGTGTGTTTTACGAGCTGCTGAGATCCCGCTCTCCTCCATTCTCTCTCTGTCGCCCTGACATCCCGCGACCCGCGGGAGGGGAACCTGGTCGCGGGTTACGCGGTCGCATTTCCGGGGGGACGTGCGGCAACGAGGGTTACCCTCGCCGTTTATTCGGGTGGCAATTCTCTCCGTCGTTCCCTCCGTCGTGTGCGTGAGAGTGACAGAGAGGAGAGAGAGAGAGAGAGGGAGAGAGCGCGCGATCGAGTGAGTGAGTGAGTGAGATAGAGAGGGAGAACGAGAAAGAAAGAGTACCTCAAGCGCGTGTTTATTGTCCCCTCTTCCCTTCCCACCCCGTCTTATTTTTAGCTCCGCTTATGTAAATGACGCAGTAGTCATCCCCGCTCGTTGGCGGGAAGTTTAAATGACTCGCATTCCGCTCAATCGAGAGAGCTCTCCCAATCCGAAGATTCTGTCGTGTCAATTGCATCGCGTTCAAGTGTAAACATGTGAATCAACGTTGCCGCGTGTATATTTTGACGAAACACAACATTGGGGTGTGGGGGGGAGGGGAGGTGGTGGAGATCGGGGATTTTTCTCTTACACACACATTCCAGATATTCCGACGTATATTACAGAGCGCCTTTATGTTGCAGAGCTCGCGAGGTAGCCGGGCTATGGAAAGTATGGTCGAGGAAAATGGATCAGCCGTCGATCCGTTGTCCCAGAGCTCCCAGAGCGGCGACGCGGCGCCAGCAATCGCAACCTCGGTACAATCTATCGATAGAACGCATCAGCCTCAAACTCACCACCTGGTAGCTTCTACCAGCATTGTGCAACTGACGCTACCCTCGTCGGGAACAGCACAGGTATACAGGAGGCTCTCCTGTGTATCTATGTCCGAATAATTTGTCTTGTCTTTTATTTCGGAGCATGCCGCGAGCGTACCGTTTATTTGTCCGTTTTTCTTTATTATTCCTTCTACTACCGTTTATTGTTTCTCTGTGATGCAAGTGGCGATTTAGACATCCGGTTCTTGCATAATGCTGGTTGCGAATCTTGGGAACGCACGAAAAGGGCCTTCCCAAAAATCACTCTCATCCTTAGATTGTAGGACGTTGGCGGTACTTTCTGTGAATGTGAAAGGTATAACATTGGGCATATGTTCTGGGCATATGTTTGAGAGGTGTACCGGTTGCAAACATATTCCCACCTTTCTCGTAGCACACAACAAACGACACATGTGCATTATTCCTTTTTCGTAGCTCTAGTTATTACGGATTATTTGTCCACGTTATTTGTACACTTTACACGCATATGGAGGAATAATGATCATGTATCTGTAATTGGTTTTAGCGATATTGGTTTTAAAATACAAACAATTAACCGTCTGTGAGATTTGACATATTTTTTTTTGTGTGCACCCTGGTACAGGTGCAATCAGTCATACAGCCCAATCAACAGTCCGTAATACAAACCGCCACGAACATACAGCCCGTCGCCATCTCCAAAGGAAACGTCATTCTGGTTAGCAAACCCAACTCCGTTATACAAACTGCACAGGGCAATTTACAGACGCTTCAGGTGAGTCATATGTATCAATTCATTGTAACACTTTAGCTTAAAAGTTATATTGCTCCGAATTAGTTTGCTGCATTGTTATCAGTCCGCGCAAATGTGTGACTCGCAGTTAAATATCAATATGTGTATATAAAAATAGGATTTATTAGAATGATTAGGATTAATGATAGATTTATTAGAATTAACGATGGATTGAAATTTGAATACCCTGCTGTTTGTTAAGGTGGTTGAAACCGGTAGCGATGACAGTTTCTCAGATGAGGATTCACCCAAGAAGAGGAATATTCTAACCAGACGACCGTCTTACAGAAAGATTCTCAACGATTTAGGCGGAGGGGAAATTACAGGTAAGACATGACGTTTCCGCTTAAATAATAAACTTATCTCGAAACGTGCTAGACATTCACTGTTGCGCGACAGAAATTAAGGTCGCGATATGGAGAATAGTCTATTAATCCTGTTCGCTGTAATTCGCTGGTCTCTTCGTGATTATGAACTAGTTGTAACATTCGCGTAATTTTGCTTGACAATTCGTCGCAGATGCGAGTTGTGAAATAAATAACGTTGAATAATTGCATCTTGCTCAATCACGTAAGACGTTTATGTGCATGTCAGTTCATACAAATTGATATTATAATAAACGAATGTAGAAATTTGCATATTTGTATCTTGAAGTATCTTGTACAAAGAATTTCAAGATACAAATATTTCGGTAAGATTATCTAGTGCTACCGAAATTAATATAAATATCCTCTCTTTTTTTCCTTTTTAATCTTTGTTACATTAACGTAATTTTATATCTGTCGAGTATATTAGCATGTACGATATAACGAATATTGCGCTGAAACCTTCCAGCACTTTTTCTATTGTTTAAACCGCAATTAAGTAGTATAAGCTCTTTTAAGACACAATTAGTTTTAGCGCGTGATCAAATAAGATATCTGTATTACGATATACATTTTTTTTTTTTATATACTTTACCGTCAGATATATAAGAGAAGTATGCCATACCAAGCCCGTACAATACTAAGCTATACAACACTGCGAACGGTAAATTAACTTTAAAAACAGACATGGGAGAGTTATTAAGATTAGGAAGTTGAGATTTTGGGAGGAAGAATTCGTGCGGATTGTTCCTTCGAACCCCATTAACATTACGTTGACAGAAAACTGAAATTTACGGTTGAAAAAGATGTAACCTTCCATTTGGAACAGTTAAGGAAGTCTGTAAATAAAAGCTCTCGAAAGCTATCGTCCACCTTGATTCGAGAAATGATGGTTTTTTTTTTTTTTTTTTCCCCAAAGATTTATTGGCGAATATATTCATGTCCACCGCGAGTAGCAAATATGGAGTAGCAAATATCACTTTGATAATTTACAACTTACGTTAATTTGATCAATCCTCACGTATATAGGATGTATATTAGAAGGTAAGTGTGCAATTGGCAATGTTAGAAGTAAATGTCGATGTTTAATAGAAAAGAATATTGTATATGATAAAAGAATTATTATACATTCAAAACACCGAACAAATAACTGTTACATACATATATATAATACGAATCAATTTTTTAAACAAATTGTAATCTTACTGTATGAAGTCATGTGAGAATCCACTTCTTTTTCACTCTTCAGAATATATTCTGTATATTCTTGTTATAATTTAACTTATGGACAAGAAAATACATTGTCAAATAATTGTATAAAGTGCATCGTTTTCACAAAGTAGATTTTACAGACTTTTGTTTTATGTATGGAACAATTGATGCTGTTAACGTAAAATTGATTGTTATTTCTAAGGAATTTAATTATCTTTCCGTTTAATAGAGAGCTAATTATCTTTAATAAACATTTTGGCAGTACTTCCTATTTCCTTTTCGTATGAGCTGACTGCACGCAGTGCAATGATAAACATATGTCGTATAATCAGCAGCCAGAAAGGAAATAGCTTAACAAAATCGTCATCACACGATGAAAGTTTCATTTTGGTCTTTTTTACATTTATCTATATTAATTTACTTTCTGGATGCGGATAATAGCAATTTAGAATATATTTATTCAATGCGACCAATAAGGACATAGTATGATTTTGGCGCTCTTTGGAAAAGAAAAACAACAAGAAAAAAAAAGAGAAAGAGCTATACATTGTATATAGATTGACGCACAACACGTTAGCGACGTCGGTTACGAGCTAATTGTAATATGGGGGTTTGGGTTGATTCGGTGTTACAGACGGTCGTTTGCCCCCCTTAGAATCATCCTCTGAGTGTGATTCTAACGTGGACAGTGAAGTGTCTTCCCATTCGCTTCATTACCAAACAGGTTGGTTACTTTAATCTTCCATTTACGTATCTTTCCTGGCTGTATTACACTCCGCAGGCTATCCATATATCGTAGTTCCTGTGTACTTTTCTGTATACCAAGGGAGATGATGTTATAGATGAGTACTTAATGAGAAAGAAAAACATGAAAAAAAAAATCTGAAACCAAGATCCATTCGCATTATACAATTGTCTTCCATCCCTGTGTGTACTGCCTAACGTGGTATATATTCATTTCTCACGATACTCGCTTGGTGTGGCATTCTTGCTTATGGGATGATATCCGATACAGACTTTGTCATTCGGTTCACTCGACGGAAGGGGGAAAGAGGCGCCGAAAAAGAATTTCTTTTCTTGTGCGAGATGTTGTAGAAACACGATGTCATTATGTATCACGCATATAGAATCTCTTTCGATGCAAATGCATTATCATTTCCAGTGCATTGTCGATGCACGGCACATATTGGATATTTTTTATCTTTTTTTTTTAAAGGCTTATATATGTGCGTTTATATTTCCGATATAATTTGTTTTACAGTAATTCCTGCCGGTACTATTCAAATTGCGACCCAAGGGGAGGGAGTTCCGGGGCTTCACACGTTAACTATGAGCAATGCGGCGACAGCGGGTGGAGCTATAGTACAGTATGCACAGGGCCAGGACACTCAATTTTTTGTACCAGGTGTGCTTTTGCATCATTTCCTGTCAGAGAGTCTTAGAAAAGCTTTTCGGTCTTTTGTTTTTATTATATTAGTGTATATTATAATAGTGTATTATAACAATATATTGTGTAGTTTTTGCGTTTGAATCTACATGAATATATATATGTATATTCATGTAGATATGTTGCATTAGATTAATTATTTTTCAAAGAATAATTCCATATTGCATGGAGTGACATATTAATACTCTATAAATTTACAATTTACATATTAATATATAAATTAATAGTAATATAATTTAAGATATTAGATTAGATTTAATGAAAGAAAAACAAGAAAAAAAAATTAGAAACAAAGATTTATTCCATTTAACGATTTTCTAGAGTCTAGACTATACATATGTCTTTTTGATAAATACAGTAACGACTCTTAGCGAACAAGACAAAATAAGCTGTTTGTAGCAAAAAACCATGTAGAATTTTAATGCACATAACGTAAAAATTTGGAAAGTGCAGTCTCTTGCAATGTTTCAGCTTATACAGGTCACGGGGTGGTAGTGGAGGATGCGGCACGAAAGAGAGAGCTAAGGTTGCTTAAGAACAGGTGAGCGATAAGAATAAACCTGTCACATAGTTATATCCGTATTTGCCTGTAGATATAACAAGATTTTTCTATCCTACGCAAAGATAAAAAAAGATTGAAGCCCTTCAGCGATTCTTATCTCTATTTTTAATGTGCACAGAGAGGCGGCGCGTGAATGTAGAAGAAAGAAGAAGGAATATATAAAGTGCTTAGAAAATCGTGTTGCGGTGCTGGAGAACAGAAATCAGACGCTAATCGACGAACTCAAGTCGTTAAAAGAATTATATCAGCAGAAAACCGACTGAGATTGGTGTTTAAAGCTTGCTCGACAGTGTATCAAAACTATTATCCAGTCGACGAACCTGTACATGTCTTGTTTGTGTACATTATCCTAAATGTTGCTAGGGGTAAGCGATGGTGATGTACATGCATTCTTATAGATATTTCTCTGTAACATACTGTATTTAAGTACGAATACGAAGGCTTGTGAAACTTGCTGTTACTAAAGCGGGAAGCCAAAGTTATATGAGACACGGTGGCAGCAAACACGTAGGCAATATTTCGTATATCAGTTTCTATTTTGGATAAACACGGCGCGCGTGATTTCGCTCGAATTCACCCGCTCGAAATTTCGATTTTACGGAATATAGAGTTAGACCGCATTAATAACATAACTGGCAAATGATATTCGTGTTTGTTTAGCATCACTGTGTATACCGACCGTTTGTACTAGATGAAGGCGTGTCTTGCTTCATTATGACATGCTGCAATTTATTTCTCTATATATGCGTATAGAAAACGAATATACATACATCTATATACGGAAGCGTTATTCAAACGCTAACTGGAAATAGCTTTCCGACTATCTGCGTGAAAATTTGCATGTAAATATTTCTATAACGAGACGTGCCGTGACTTGTGTAACAGACATTGTTCGAGACATTTTTGGTAGATGACAGACTTTTATTACGTATTTTCATCTTTAGGAAAAATAATTTGTCTAGAAGATATAATAAATTATTTTTCAAAAACGCCCAATTTTTCCTGAAACATAGCATTTCGCACGATTGTTAAATTGTTGTATACATATATTTGACGTAATCATGTTTCTTGTGGTATCTATAGTAATTTGGGATTGACTTTGTATAACAGACGATGATAGTCAGTTCATAAGAAAATGGACACAAAAGTCATATATTTGAGCGCTGTACAATACAAAAGTCTCCTTTCGGTATAAATAATACAAACGGTTTTCTGTGCATGTAAAGAATCGTGCCATGGCGAGACGCGCTTCCATCTACCGTAAATAGGTTTTAATATACGATCTGTCACAAAATGTGGAATTATATATGTTGTCTAGTTTCACAAAAAAGAAAAATTGAGAAGCAACATTAAAAAAAGATGTGCTTCTGATGAAGATGCTTGAAAATTGAATGCTCTTTAAAAGAAAGCATCGACGTAGAGAAAAATTTATTGAAGTAGTAAACGTGACATTTGAATGATATAAGAAAAAAAAAGGAAAAAAAAAAGATATCTCTCATTCTCATGCCTGCATCTCTCGTTTGCTGTATAAACGTGCATACAAGGCGGTATTATGTCGCTTTTAAAACGAGTAAAATAATCCTATTTTACGTCTCGTCAGAATGCCCCGTTCATCAAAAACGCTGAACAACTTGTAAAATATGAATGTAATATACATCTGGAGTGCCTTGAAGATTTACGATACTTGTGATATACATATACATATGTTGGATACAAAAGAAGAAAACGCGCAACATATGCATATGTATGTATATACGTATGGAGGAAATTAAGTTGTAGGTAAATATGGGTAGATATATATATAGATATATATAAATATTATATGATATTTTTAAAGTATATATTATTAATATAGTTTTATGTACTTGACACACACACACACACAACTCTATCACGAGAATTGTATTATTTTTGGGAACTCGTGTTCCCACGTAATCTCATTATCGTCAAGTCGAAAACCAATTACTGACACATACTGACACTGCGCAATGTATTGTGAACAATACGCGTGGTTTTACCATGAAGAGATAGCGTTAAAGACCCAAATAAAGAGCATAATTTTTTTAACAAAAGTTGGAGTTGACGTATTGTGAATTTCAGTTGTCATTCTATTGGCGTCAATAAGTTTTTGAATTCATCGTATTCGGCGTAAGCGTTATCGAAAAAAAAAAGATGTCTACTGACACCGTTTCCTAACGCATACAATGATACAAAAATTATTTGTAACGAAATAGTGTCTAGAAATTTGCGATGCTGGACGCATCGTTTAGAATTTCGTATTTTACCGGTCGATCTTAATTATTCGTAGTTTTGTAATGCTAACGTGCATAATGAACATTGTCAATTTATGAAGCAAAGCTTGAAAAAAAAAGAAGAAAAACAGAATGAAAGAATCATTAGAGATAATAAATGTGCCGTATCCTTTATATGTGCATTTCATTGCCGCCATTGCATTATTAAATTTTGTACTAGATTTTAAAGTGCCTTCTTCTTCTTTTACGTTTTTAGAGAATAGTAAGTGCACGTCTTTCATTTATTTTACGTACCTTCTATTGAATGTTAGAGAGAAGTAGAAAGAAGGCTTTATTCCATTGCAGAGAAACCTGGTGCAATATTAAGTGCATTTTCTAATTGTGAGCTTCGATTACTTCATTTGCCTCTATATAATTCGATGAGCACAATTAAAACTAGTCAACTAATTTCTGTTGACTTTTAGTCCCACTTGTATGTTTCTTATTGATGAGCATCGACCTAATTCTCCTTCCTTCTCTTGTATGATAAAAGTTTTATTTCTTATTACATACATATAAGGTTTGTTTAGAGAAAAAAGGAACAAATACATCTTTAATATTTATTAGACAATGTATAATATATTGATTGTAACACGCAGTAACATACTACGTTATTAAATATTACATATGTACAAGAGTGTATCAAAGAATAACGAGACAAAAATTTAATTTTTAATAAAATATTTAATCTTTCAAGTAATCTTCAAATATGTCTCCTGCATCACAATGCATTTGTCCCATTTCCTTTTGCCGTACTTAAAATGTAAATTAAAATATAAATTTATATGTATTGTATACAAACGCATTAGTAAGATATGTGCAAGTTGCTTTTATACATTTTTCAACTTAATTTTTAATTTAATATAATTAAAAAAAGTCTTAATAAAAATCAGTCTCATTAATTTCTGATATGCTCACTAGTATAGTTGTGTACACATACTTACATCATCACCAAACTTATTATTGGGTTGAATGGAAAGTTTGTTCAGTTTTTTTAATTAAATTGAAAGCCGTTATTTTTTTATTTAGATCTAACTTTATTCATCCAGATATTCACCATTTTTTTCGATAACTTTTTGCCATCTTTTAGGCAGCGCCATAATTCCATCTGTGTAGTTCTCAGTTTGTTGATTAAAAAACTGATCCAAGTGATTTTTACAGGCTTCCGGGGAACTGAAGTTGTTGTTATTAAGGGAATTTTGCAGGAATCCGAATAAATGGAAATCGGAGGGTGCAAGGTCCGGTGAATACGGCGAGTGAGGTAAAACGTCCCAACCCAACTATATCAATTTCTGCCAAACGGTTACAGAGACATGAGGCCTTGTATTGTCACGATGAAAGATAATACCTTTACCATTAGATAATTCCGGACGTTTTTTTGTCAATTTCTATCTTTAATCGGTCCAATCGCGAGCAGTATAAATCCGAATTAATCTTTTAATTTTCTGATAAAAACTCGTATTACAAAACTCCCTTCCAATCCCACCAGATGCAAAGTATCATCATCTTCGCGTAAAATTCTGCTTTCGGTGTCGATAAAGAGCGCTCGTCTTGTCTGCCAGACGATCTCTGTCGCATCAAGTCGTTATAAATAATCCATTTTTCGTCTCCGGTAATAATTCGTTTTAAAAATGGATCATTTTCGTTTCGTTTGTGCAGCGAATCGCATACAGAAATTCGTTCTATTAAATTTTCTTTCAATAAATTATATTTATGTCCATGGTATCCAAGTATCGAGCCGATTTATGTATCCGAGCGCGTGTAAATGTTCGACAACGGCTGTTTGCGATACTTTGAGAATTTCTGCGATCATTCGAGTCGAATAATGCGGGTTATCTTTAATTAGTGTCTGAATTTTATCATCGTCAATCTCGACCGGCCGTCCTGAGCGTGGTGCATCGTCGAGAACAAAATTTCCGGCGCGGAACTTGGCAAACCACTTTCGGCATGTTCGTTCGTTTACGGCATCCTCTCCGTACACGGCACAAATCTTTTTTCGAGTTTTGGCTGCACTTTTGCCTTTTTTGAAGTAATAAAGCATAATATGCCGAAAATGCTCATTATGATTGACCATCTTTGACCTGACACCAAATATTCAAAATAGAACTAATCTTTAAAATGTTTTTTTTTAAATGCGTATCAGAATGTCAACTATCGAACAATATTAAATATTAATTAATTGGAATGAAGTCGCAGATATTTATATTAATGCCGTCTTTCAACAAAAAACAAAACGAATTTTCTGTTCAACCCAATAATATCAAGAAACACAATAGTGCCTCCTGCAAAAAGTGTTTCTCACTATGTAAATCTTCATATGACGTTCCTTCGTATTCTGTAAAAATACAATTTAAATTAGTGAAATTTTCAACAGCCGTATTTCTTATAAAAGAAATTTAAGTAACTTCAGTTGGTAGTGCATGTAGAAGTAATCATAATAGGATGAAACTTTATTAAAAAGTTCATCCTGTTATTTCAGAGATAAAAATTTCATCCTGTTGTTTAAATTTATGTATATTAAGGTATATGTGACTTATAAACAATTCTTACCAATTTGTTTAACAAGATACAGAATTTATCTTCATCTTTGTAAGTCTGAAAAACAACATTCGCATAATTTATTCATATGCTCAAGCTGATATCGATAAATAAAATTAACGTAAAATGGCTCAGTTGGTAGTGCATGTACAAGTATAATCATGATTTCATACTCGGTAAAACTCATCCTGTTATTCAGAAATACGCATAAACGATTTCTTACAAGAAATATTTGAAGAATCAGAATACCCAAGTATACAAAATATTTGTATATAATAAATATTAAAAATTTTATCTTGTTATTTCAGAGGTATAACATTTTACCCTATTATTTTAAATTTATGTATATTAAAATGTATGTGACTTATAACGATTCTTACCAATTTGTTTAGCAGGATACGGAATTAACTTTTATCTTCGTAGGCCTGAAAAACAATAAGATAATTTATTTATATGCTCAAGCTGATCTCGATAAATATGAATTAACGTAAAATGACTCAGTTGGTAGTGCATGTACAAGTATAATCATGACTTCATACTCGGTAAAACTCATCCTGTTATTCAGAAATATGCATAAACGTTTTCTTACAAGAAATATTTGAAGAATCAGAATACCCAAGTATACAAAATATTTGTATATAATAAATATTAAAAATTTTATCTTGTTATTTCAGAGGTATAACATTTTACCCTATTATTTTAAATTTATGTATATTAAGATGTATGTGACTTATAATGATTCTTACCAATTTGTTTAGCAGGATACGGAATTAACTTTTATCTTCGTAAGCCTGAAAAACAATAGGATAATTTATTTATCTGCTCAAGCTGATCTCGATAAATATGAATTAACGTAAAATGGCTCAGTTGGTAGTGCATGTACAAGTATAATCATGACTTCATACTCGGTAAAACTCATCCTGTGATTCTACTCGGATACACGCATAAAAGATTCCTGACGCAATACGAGAAATATTTGAAGGATCAGAATACCCAAATATATAAAATATGTGTATATTATAAATATACAAATGCATTCGAACATAAAGCAGTAAATAGATATATTTCTATCCTGGATCTAAATTCCGATAGGAATTATAGATCCTCTAAAGAGGGATAAAGTGTAATCATATCACTTTTTATTTTCCAAATCAACGGAGATTAGTAATAAATATAACTCGATTTTACAATAAGAATTGAATTCTATTGCAAGTGTATAACACAATGGGCTAAGACGGACAATTACAGCGGATGCACGTGGATTACAATTTACAAATCGCGACGAGCATGCGGTCGGTCGTTTCGAGAAATCTCGTATCCTTTATGCCGAATCCACGTTTTAATTACAGGCATCGGGAAAACCGATTATTATAAGATCCCTTCGCATCGAGCGTATCGAGTTTAATTCAGTTTAATTTTCTCTCACCTCGGAATCTTTCGTAGCGTAAAAACAAATCGAATCCATTCGCATAACCTCCCGTCGTTGCTCCGCTGCTCCCTGCTCGTAGCATCGATGGCGCGATGGCGCGACTGCCGCGACTGGCGGCGATGGCGGCGGATTGCGGAATGATATTCATGATACTGTTATCGCCTCCTGCGCGCAGAGGGCGCAGAGGCTTGTCACGCGACATCTGCACGCGAAGCGACCTTTAGGGTGCACCTGTGCGACGAGGCAGTGCAGACGAGTGCAGATGACCGAGTACGGTGTGTCGGTGTGTTGATTATTTACGAATGGCTCGAGTGACGAGATACACGGAATTATCTTAAAATGACTCATTAAGTCTACGAGGCGTCGGCTAGATCGTTAAATATGATCTTGGAATAATCTCGTATCGCATTCTCCCGTCGACTCCGCGCTGCGAGCCGTATCTCCAGCCGCCGTAAACCCTTCCGCGAGTCATGATCGGCGAGTGAATTATGGCGTGACCGAGATATCGCGACGAAGACAGACGTCGAGGAAAGGCGATATGGACGATTAGCGTGCGGTCTTTTCCGAGAGAGAGGTTTTAGCTCCCGGATCACGTTCCGGACTTCTGCACTTCGTCCCCTTCCCCTCTTCCCCCTCCCCCTGGAATAAGTCAACCGGCGGGCGTTCGCGTACCCTCGAAACCGACAGACCTCGCGTGCCAGTGTGGCACGTGCGATGGGACGGAGAGAGGTCTCCCTTTGAAAGGTAGTAGCATCGTGTTCACATATAATTTTCCCCGCGAGAATGGGCATTGCCAGCAAGCTCAGCCGGATGCGATTTCCTCTCGGTGCACGCGGGTCGCGTCGAGATCACGGGCGAAAACTTGTGTACACACGAGTGTTTTCATCGTCTGTACTTTCATCCGCTCGGCTGGGGTCCAGCTGATTGCTCCGCGCGAATAGTTTCATTCGTATTATTTACAAACAACGACTTCGGCTATTCCAATTGTGGGAGGAAGAAGCGTGTATAGGTGCACTTCTCTAAATTAGACCTGTTCCTTTTAACTCTTCTTCTTTCTCTTTCTCCCGTGGGGAGAAAGAGAGAGGACAGATGGACCGCGCAAGAAATTCAGTTGACAAGAACAGATCTATTGTATTTTTTATTCGACGTGGGCTCGCATTTTTTGAGAAGGGAAGGAATAATAAAGGGATCAAGCGTGTGGAAGTGCGATTAATGACGCAGGAACTGAACTCGGACAATGGAAAGAGAAACAAATGCTTCGTGTAATGAATCATGTGTGAAATAGTATCTGAAACAGTATCTCGCAGAGTATAAATATCAGTAGCTTTTCGATTAATCTTTGCACCGGGATCTTGTAGTTCAACTTTAAACCATTTATAAAGACTTGACTAAACGTATTTTATTTAATTCTGTATATGAATAATAAAGAATGTATATAAACGCCATTCAAAGTTTGTGCAATTAAATGTAAACTTGCAATGTAATTAAATCTAATACTTGGTGCAAAACATTCTTTCTATATATATTTTTTTTAGATATCCTAAGAGATTACGTTAAATATTTTGGTTGAATGTACCAAATGAAGTTTTACTTTGATTTCTTTAACACACACACTGTTTAGTTTCTTGTGCAAAATAGTATTTTACTTTTTCCTTAAGCACAATAATTTGAAAATTGTTTATACAGAATTTTCTTTCGCACCGCTTCCTTTTTAGTTACGAGTTTTTTTTCTTCTTTATTACAGCCAAGTGCAAATGAAAGAGCGAAAGCAATGCCTCAAACGACCACTATCGAAACTCTTACTGTAACCAGACCACTTAAGGTAAGTTTTAAAGCTCAATTGAAGCGTATCTTCTTTTTACTGCAGACAGAATTTAAATCGTTCATGTACCAATCTGTGTTACAAAATTTTAAGATCAATTTTATATTAAATATTTTTTTGCAACTCATCAATCTCACAGAATAGAATAAGCGTAAATATCGTAATGCTTATAAATTATAACATGGATTTTTTAAAGAGGAGCAAATTTCTACGAAGGATGGCGTAGAGAAGCTGTAGTAGAATAATGATGCAGTGCAACTATTCATTACTGCGAAATGAGGGATTTATATTCATGGCAAAGGCTTTGTGGCTCCAATTTCGACTTGCACTAGAGTGCTGCGACGGAAAAATGAGCTGTTCCATAATTATGGAGCAGATGAGTCTTAATATGGGACATATACGGACCATAATAAAAACGTAGAACGTTTGTAAAGCATCTTGCAAAGAGTCGAGATAAACACATTACTTAAATTGTCACTCAATAAAGAGGTGAATAATCACATGCATAAATAATCACATAAAAACTGTTAGATTTGTAGGTAACTAAAAGGACATGAAAGGGACGGATTAGATGGAATGAGAGAGAAAGAGAGAGATAAAATAAAAATAACCGAAGAGAAAGAAAGGGCGAAGGAAGAGCGGGAGAGAGCGCAGAGATTGGCGCTCGCGCGCACTGCGCCACGACCTTTAATGGGCGCTGATGGGCGCAGCCTCCCTGGAACCTGGAATCCGATTGCTTCCCTCCCCAATCCCAGTCGCGGAGAGTCAGTCGCTCTCGCTTGAGACGCGCGCGTGCCCTGTCTCTCTCTCTCTCTTTTTCTCTCTCTCTCTCCCTCTCTCTCTTTCCCTTCTTCCGCGGCAAGTATCACTGTCATTAAAAATCGTTCGCGTCGCGTGGGAGGGGAGGGGGCTACGACCCCGGAGAACACTGCCATCGATCTGCGATCCGTCCGCTCCGCGAGAAAGAGGCGAAAAGGAGGGACGAAAGAGGGAAGAGAGAGATATAAAAAGAAAAAAAAAGATAAAAGAGAAAACAACCCGTGGCGGTGCGCGTTTTACAGGGGGTTGCCCTCGTCCGATAATACGTTGCGCGGGACCGATCAGCGCGACGACGAAGCCATTGACCCGCGGCGCCCGTTAATCAACCCTCTCCCCCACCATCCATGCGAAACCACGATCGTGTCGCGCGGAGGAACCCTCGGCCACACGTTATCGGACGCGACGCGCGTAATCTCCGCGTCCTCTAAGTGAAAGAGAGTGAGCAGAGGGTGGGTGGTTCTCGCGACTCCGCGGATTGCCGACGGACGACGTCGAGAGGAGTAGTGCCGAGGAGACATACGATGTCTCGTGCGCGCCGCCCCGAGGGAAGCGTGTCGTCGTCGTCGCGCGTACGTCTTTGAAGGAGCGTCGCGAAGAAGGAGAGCGCACCTCCGACGTCGTCCCGACCCGTCACGACACTCTCGCGCGTGTCTTCTCCCCTGCACGGTTTCGTGAAACGCTCGCGGGCACGGAAGTGAAATGATTATGTACACGGTCGCCGAGGATCACATGGGCGACAACGAGATCGCGCAGGTATCGTGTCTCCTCGAGGGAGAGAGAGACGTCTCTCTCCGACGATGTCCCGGTTCCGCGACTGTGAGCGTTCTAAGCGGCGAGCTGACGGACTCGGTGCACGTCGCTTTGTCACACTCACACGCTCGTCTCTTCTTGCAGGTGATCGCGTTCATATGCGGGATCATAGTGGTGCTGCTGATGATAATGGGTCTGGCGTCGACCGACTGGCTGATGGCCCTGGGATGGAGGCAGGGACTGTTCGCCCACTGCATCGAGGAAGGCGCCCCGACGCCGCTCCCCTTCAACATGCCCGACCCCCCGGGATGCTACCCAGCCAGGGACAGCGGTACCGTTCGTTTCATCGCTGAGCGCCAAACTAATCTCTGTGGTCGGATTGTAATCTCAGGTTTTTTTTTTTTTTACCTTGCAGCCTACATAAAGGCGGCTGCGGCCTTGTGCGTGGTGTGTCTTCTCACAGACATCGCCGCGACGATTCTCACCGGCCTGGGTTTGCGCACACAGGATCACAGGGACAAGCACAAATATTATAGATTTGCGGTGTTCTGCATGAGCATTGCACGTAAGCGCAATTATACAGATGACTTTGTTTCTCTTCTTTCGTCTTCGAATCTTTTATAACATTTCACGTCTGTGTGCGTTTCAGTGGTGTCCCTCCTAATAGCGCTGATCATATATCCCATATGTTTTGCGGCAGAACTGAATCTCGGTAAGCCTTCGACGCGTCTCTCGATTTGGTTAAATGAAAAAAAAAAGAAAAGACGCGAAAGAACACGTTGCGTACGCGTTTACAATCGTCGAATTTACATGACACTAATCTCTTTTTTGTTTTTAGGAAATCGAACAAACTGGGAATTCGGTTGGGCGTACGGCGTCGGTTGGGGCGCGGTTATTTTCCTGGTTGGCGGCGCGGTGCTGCTGTTGTGCGAGAAGGAAAGCGAGGAGATTTACTACAAGGAGAAGAAGACCGTTCGCGATGACATAGGAAGCGGCGGTTCCATGATCGGCATGGGACATCACGCTGGACGAAGTGGAACGCAGCTAGCCTAGTGGCATTGCTCCCTGCCCGATGTTGTTCTCTAGGTGATTTGTTTCATCTTTTTTCTGCTCTCACAGTTCGACACATGCGCATACGAGAAGGTATACAAGCCTGTAAGAATGATTTTTCGGTAGGGCGTTTTTGGCTAACGCAAGGGAAACCATCCTTACGGATTCTCCGACCGATCTAGCGTTGATTTCCTTGATGCACGAAGTGCATTTCGAAGCGTCAGCAACTTAAATACGAATAGAAACGTGAATAAACTTTCACATAAATAGCACACAAATAAGATAATAATAAAACGTTAGTTAATTTTATACGAAACTTCAATTATTGAAGTTTTATTATTAAGATACTTGCTGAAAATGCTGACAATATTGAAACGGGAAGGAAATAATGTTTTGCAAGAAACAATCGGCTCGAAATTAGTCGAAGAATCTGTCGGTCGGTTTTCGTTGTTCGAAAATATCTGAAGTAGATGTAATCTGTTCATTAGATGGGTGTGTATTCGAGTTACTATTAGTTTGAGGTAGGATAACACAACTCATTGAAGAAATACGCATTTCGATCTTCTCGTTTCCGGCTATTCCTTATTTTTTCACAGTCAATTTTTATACTGACAATTTCGGGACCATTATTAGCTTGATTCTGTTCTCGTACATTTCGCATGGACTATATATATATACACACATGTATGATATTTTTACCGTAATTTAAATTATAGCACGATTTATAACGTGACGATACTGCATTTATCGTCACTGTATTGAACTAAATTTGTAAGGATATCACTCTCGTCACCGAGCCTGAGAGATGAAAGACAATTCCAGAAAATGGTTCCCATGTTTCTTTCTTATAAGTAACACACGTGTACGCATACACGATTTGCATTCGATTTGTCCTTAGTGAAAGTTTGATTAGATTTCATTTTCTTTCATAATTGTGTTATATTTGATATTAGAAGTATAAAATGACTGGAAGCAGTCAACAAATAGAGAGAATATGCTAAAAGTTATTTTATATTAAATTATTAATATAACGTTTTTCTTAGCTTTAAATCTTAGCTTCAATTTGTAATTGAAAATTCTAAATTTTAGAGGCGCAGATAAAAAAAGCTTTAATTTTCCTTTAATTTCAAACAGATTCGTTTTTAAGTGTACTTCAAGGCTTTAACATTGCATATAAAGATATTGCCTAATAGGATAGTGCCCGATCAAATTTTTTCGATTCGCAAAATATCAGCTTCACATTGGGATTTATATCCCGATGCTCCGGACACTATTTAATGCAACACATGCAACATGATTATGTATAATTTATTTATAACAACATTTCTCTTCGTTATTCCTCGGAATTCATTCCCCTCTATACTGATGAACATATCACACATTTAGTTTCATTAACTTGTTTTCATCTATATACAGGTTGTCCCAGGGAAAATAATCATATCATTCTATAGAGTATAATGTTACTCAAGAGATTTTAAATAAAATAATATTTTGAAACTATTTGAGAGATTATTAAAAATAGAAAGAGATTAGATCAATTTAGATAATTAAATATGTTGAAAGCAGATTTTACAAAGTGCTATAAAAATAGTATGAAGATATAATATATGTATGTATAATTTCATGTGATAAAAAATCGGTTTTGCAATAATTTTGTTTATTGCACATCTCTTTCACTAACTTCTGGCTGAATACAAATTTCTTCTAACGCATTACGCTTAGCAAATGCAAATCTGCTTGAAGGGGTTCAAATAATACCGTCCAACTTACTTTTGCTGGGATAGCCTGTAACTCGAAACTTTTAAATGTCCAAATAATTAAAGAGGAAATATTTAAGTTATTGTGGCCTATTGTCAACATTTCTCCTTATTTTCTTAAGTCACATCGTGACTGGAAAAAAAATGTTACACATGTAAATTATGTAGAACTATCATAAAAGTTCAACTTTGAAGCTTTCTTTTTTATTTTGCAGCATATTCTTGCCGCGAAAATAATTTCTATGGAGAATAATTGTACAGTTATCATTGCTTTTTCAAGCAATTTTATGAGAGACAAAAATAATGTATATGCTTATGTAATTTTTCCAATCGTCATTTTGATTGCTAATTATTAATATTACTTGTTTTTATTGAAGAATAATCTCCAAATTACAATGTGTTATATATATTATCTTTTTGTCAAACTTTCTACGAATGTAATGCATTGGTGCATATTTCCGCAAAGACACAGTGTAAATGTTACAAGCAAAATCATTTTTTAATTTTAAGCTTCTTGCACAATGCATGAAAAAGAATAGCGGTAGCGATAGAAATAAGAATTTCAACCTATCAGAAACTGTATTCTATAACATCTACGGTTTCTTGAAATTCTTATTTTTATCGCTATTCCTTCATGCATTCTGCAAAGAGCTTAAGATTTGAGATACAAGACATTTATTGTGCGTTATAAAGACTTAAGTGAAACTTGTCTTAAGATTACAAGTTAACCATTCGGGCCTAACACAGTGAATTACTTCATCTTTGTTCAATGTTGGCAAACAACAATAGGATGTAATGACCCTCTGTGTCTTTGTTGGAAAGCATATTTGAATTGGCCAATAAATCCGTGCGGTTTTTGTCGATAGATAACGCTCTGTCTACGTTTAGTCCAAATATTGGAAGCATGTAATAATTACATTTATCCCTGTTGCGTGAAATCTTCAAAAATTTTCGTACTTAAAACGAGAAATATATAGTCGAACATTGAAAAGAAGGAAAGCGAGGACAAAAAGTGTAAGTAACGCGAACAGATCTATTGATAAGTGACGTTTCAATGTGTATTGAAAAGAATGCAACTGCCTGAAAGATGGCAAAAGGTACTGGAACGGCCAATACATTCTCAATTAGAGTTATTGCTTTTTATTAAAAAATCACCTTGCATTCACGGATAAAGAAACCGCACGGACTTATGCCAATCTAATATATTTATATTATATAGATGCATTTAATTTATTAATTTCTATTCACACATATACACGATATTTCTTTTTTTTATTTTTTTTCCTCTATTTTTCCCTCTCTCTTTTCTTTTTCCTTTATAATATAATCCACGTATAATACTAATATAATACATATGTATATTTATACTGAAATCTGCCATTTTTATTATGCATGTCATAAATTTTCGATATGCGTAGCGTGAGGGCACACACCATGAGGAGGGAATAATTTACTAAATATATACCGATTTGATACGAACCTAAGCTATATTGTAAAGCGCTTCATAATTTTAGCTTTTACATTTTATTGTTGTAACGGCTGTAAATTCCTCTCGTTTATGATAAGGGGCTTCATTACAGACTGACATCTCTTTAAGTATTTAATTTGAAACGATAGCGCATGGCTGAGGTGGCGTACAAGTCTCGTTTGAGCCTTTACGCGAACCATTTGTGAGTGCTTCATTAGTTATTCATCAAAAAAGGAAAACAAAGAGAAATGATGAATGTGCGTTAAAACGTGATAGAACAAAGAAACGGCGCGATAAGGCTTATCGTTATTACGTGTACCGATCGTCATTCTCATCCCATTTTATATTGTCAACAGCATATGATGGCGAACAATATGGAAAAAAAGACTGTAGTAGCGCGTATGCATGCACCGGAGAAAGATATTGGATTTTTGTGCGACACAATGCGAGGCAAAACGAGTCCCTTTCGAACGCTCGAAGGCGAAGCTCTTACATTGCGAAGCGAGGCGTAGCCTATGTCCATCGTTCGTAGCGTGTATCTTTGAACTTATTACCTCATGTATCCTTTAAGTTTTAATTATAAAGCACAAGACACGTCTTTTAAGTGCAGGATGGAACGGAGGCAGCTCGGGCAGATGTTATTTATTGCGTTATTTGCATTAGATACGTGTACGTATATGTGTATATATATATAAATATATATATATATAGATATAATATTTTATAAATGTAGTTTATAGCGTTATACACTCGCAGATGTAGCGATCCGATGCATATACAGTTTGCAGTGTAACGGCGAGTAACGGTCTACGTTGATGCATTGAAATCCCTCATCGCAAATACGATTTCTATATGCTTTCGAAGGCGAGTAGAGTGAGTGGCGTGCATGAAAAACACGTTCGTTTCGAAATGTTTTCGGTCGACGCGATCAAGGAAAAAAAAAACTCTGGAAGAAGAAAGAGAGAAACTCAAGAGACTATTAAGAATTGAGTACAATGTTGTTACATTATATTCCGCTTATACAGTAGATTTTCTATTCTTTAACTGCTTAAACAACTTTACCGTGTATGTAGTAGTACTTTATAACGTATAAGGAACAATATCGCGATATAAGGAGTTACAGAGATATAAGGGAATTACAGAGTGTAATGAAATGTAATGAAATTCGTGATTTCTATATATATATATCATACATATAAAACATGCACATAGCATTTAAGACAATCCGTTATGTCGGGTCCTGCGTATACGCTCTGACTGTGACTGTGTGGAATTCTGTCGTCTATTTGCAAGAAAGTGAAAAAGAGAGAACATATTCAGCGTAATAATCGAGGAGATCTGAAAAATCTGTTGTCTAATATAGTGAAACATATCGGAGTAAACTTTTTTAATGGAATTAAATAATTGATATAGATTAAGTATTTAAGGTTTTCGAAATAGATTTCACTCTACGGTGATTAACGGCGATATGTGTAAGTTTACATACTTAAGTAAGTTTACATATGTAAGTTTCAAATTGGAATCCCTCTCCGGTCGCGCTGGCTGGTTTGCAAATCGTCGACAGAATTGCGACCGCTGTGTAATCATCATTTGTCATTTTCTACTCTACTGGCGGATAACTTTCGGTCGAATAGTCAATAGAACATATACAACATGTATAACAGCCCGTGTAACGAACGAAGCAAAGAGAATGTATCGTCACTGACTTAATTACACAATTGTTAGGCATGCATTTCATCAGCAACACAGCAGTTGTATAGTATTTTAAAGCATATACATATCGCACTACATACATTCACACACACATATACATATATACATATATATACATATATATACATATATGCCGTAATAAGTATACCATTACATATATGTGTATCCTATACAATATAAATTGATATATTATTTGTGCGCCATATTCCAATGTTAACGTATTGTATTGTACAAAGAACAAAATGTAACGTTAAAGCTGTAATTGCTGTGTATTTAAACATATGTGTCTAAAGCCCAGATGATTTAAATTTATGTCAGATTTCAGGCTACATTTCTATTTATAATTTTGTATGCTATATATTTTGATATGTGTAAGTCTTTTAACTTTCAAATTAATTTATCTTTTAATTAAAATATTTTTGAATAATTTATTTGTAATTATATTTTTTTAATTAAATATATATATCCTTTCTTCAAATGCGTTATATGAAATGATATGTTGTCTAAAATGAGTTTAAGCAAAATAATCTGCATCTTATTTTTTTCAAATTTTGCCCTAGATTTTTTACATTAATTTTCCTTCACTTTTTTGATTTGCTACTCAATTGTTGCATTGCTTAACGCTAAAAAAATTCAATCCAATAAAATTTTTTTAGTCATTTCTTGGACAATCAGGTTTTTAGATATCTAAAATTGTTCAAGAAAATTGTATATATATTTTGCTTTTAAATTTCATTTTTGTTATTCCGAAGCAACGATGCCTGCAAAAAAGTTGTAAAAATTAAATTTTTTTCAAAGCGTGGATCATTTTAAATAAATACGTGTTTTATTGATTTTATTTATTTTTTTCGACGGCAAACAAATAATTTCCGCCGTTTGTTCGACCAATCCGACGAGTTCTGTTCGTCGCGGCCGATTGGAGGATCGCCTGGACAGTTTCGAGCAAACGAGACTCCCATCTCGAATACGCACTCGGTCGCGCATCTTGTATGCGCACGATCGCGACCGTTAGAAAATTGCGCCATTTTTCTTTTTTCAGTTACCGAGCGAGTTGAATTGTTTGGCGGTGGAGAAGGCAGCCGCGCAATAAACGGGACGGTGCGGGTGAGAGACGGGCCGGGGTAGTGGTGCGCGTGATCGCGAGGTTTCACCGGAGCCGAGAGAGCGAAGCTGCTGGGTCGTGCGGGACGCACGAGAGACGAGAGACCGGGGATCACACGGACCGGAGCTACGATCGTCGTCCACGTGCGCGCGGACGACCGTGAGGAGAGCGGCAAACGGCGTGAGAGAGGGAGTGAGAGAGAGAGAGAGAGATAGAGAAGCGTGCGAGCGAGCGTCTCTTGGGCGAAAGCGGCGGAGGATTGATCATCGATCGAAATAAACGGGTGCGGGGCCGGGGCGTCCGCGAAGCGGAGACGTCCCGCAACGCCGTGATACCGATCGGACTGTCGCGCATCTGAGCCGGGTTTTCGCCCCCCCGCGTTTTCGGGAACGCGCGCGATCGTCAAACCGCGAGACAAGATGTCGGTGGACGCGCTCAGCGACTCCGAGCTGCGCTCGAAGCTGATGGAGTACGGGTACCCGGTGGGACCGGTCACGCAGACGACCCGCAAGATACTCGCCAAGAAGCTGAAGAACCTCATGGAGGCCCGCGGCGCCGGCGGCGGGGCAGCGGGATCCCGGCATTCGTTGGCCGCGAGGTGAGCGTTTTTCCTTCAGAGAGGATACACCGACACGAGTTTTCTTTCAGCTATGTCGCATCTTATACGCGTCCGGAGTAAGCTCCGGACTCGGGCGCGTGGGAGAGAGAGAGGGGCGGGAGAGGAAGGAGCGAGCAGGAGCGGAGAGACCGGTGTGATTCCGTCGCGAGGTTTCGCGGACTCGACGACGTCGGCACGCCGATAACGATCTTTAAATGTTCCGTCGCGGCTAAACGAAGCGCGATGTAAGATTCACCTCTCCGCACCTATCACGATTCCGAATGGACGAAGGTGCACGGAGCGGCAATGTTTACGCTCCGTTTCTGCGAATGTGCGACACCGTGGCGCTTGGTTGATTTACGCCGATTGTTTATAAAATACTGTTTATTTTCTTTGCGATTGCCGCTCATTTTTCCGATTAACTTCTATGAAACTGTTGCGTTTCAGAAGCATGATAAATTTATTTGTAGAGCTTCAATAGTGTTAATGAGATTTCAGTAAAAAAATGTTTCGTATTTCTAATCTAAATATCTCATATTTCTAAGCTTTTAATTGAATTGCAGTTTTGAATTGAATTGAATTGTGTGCCAGACACGTGCACGCATACGTATACGTAGAATATGTCTTGTATTTGCGTTTTGATGTTTTTTTTTCCGTCTATGTTAGATATAGCAGCGACGACACAGACGACGACACAAACACGAGTGTCGTTAAGAAGAAGAAGAGTGCGAACCTGCGCCGGCAAACGTTGGCGAATCCCATGCCGCCACCTTCGATTATTCCTCCCGACATCGCGAGCGTGACGAAAAATCCGGTCAAGGAGTCAAATCTATCGCCGCCGCATTCCGAGTTCAAGGATCCCAACGCGACGAATTTCGACAGCTCGGCCGTGCCTGCCGTGACTCGCACGACTTCGAAGAGCACGCAGAACAAGTTTGTCAAGACGCAGAGAACCTACGTGTCCGACGGCTTGGAGACCGGATCGGATTCCGACGTCGTGGAGGACGCCGGGAGCTCGTACGGACGCTCGTACGACAAGTACCTGTCGAATCCGAGCAGCAGACTGTACGATTCTCGTGTGTACGATCGCGGTACTTACGATTACGATCAGATGGCGAAGACCAGACCCGCCTACGGGTGGAAGGACAGCAAGTACAATGTGTCACCGTTGAAGCCGAGCGTCGTCTCCCCGATTCTTCAGCCCGCGAAGGAGGACGTGAGTGGGAGGGACAGTGCGAATCAGAGGGATCTTCTTGCAAACTATGAAACCCCATTTCTATCGGAGTTCACAAGGAGACTCAGTTCGCGATCTTTGATAAACACAAGCGCGTCGCCATCCACCCTGTCGAGCTTAAAAAGTAAGCGAGTTTCTTAACATGAAATCTAACACACTCCGATACGAGACATTTATTTCGGATCAAGTTTTGTTATCTCCATAATAGCTGAAAAATTTTATCTCTAATTTTATTTAATTTATCCAGATCGAGATAATTTTAGTATATCCATTTGATTTGACAAGAATATTTTATCTTGTATTAATTGTGCGGAATTACTTATGTGTCTAATTCGCGTGCATTTTGTCTCACAAACTTTTTTTTTTATAACTTCTAGATCCTACATTACGCCATAATTTGACCTCTGGTTTACCAGAGGTGAAAGAGAGAGATTCAAACGGCCACTTCTCTTCCTTAAGAGGCATGTACCCGCTGTCGAATCAGTCGAGGTATGTATTATTATTTTATCCGAATTGTATGTATTATAAACAAACGCTTGGCTCGAGACGTAATGTCTCGTCTGCTGACAGAGTTCGGGATATTTTCAGCAGAGCGACTTACAAACCGTCGACGACGAGCACAAGCAGGGACGACGTGCGAAATAATCAGAACATCGTATCGATGATCCTCCTGGTAGTACTTGCCCTATTCTTTGTAGTCATTGCAATAATATATGTGGGACTTGGGAAAACCGAGACGCTTCCATCGCTTACATCGGGTAGGTATAACTAGAGGAGATGTCTGAGACAGATATATATAATCTTAACGGGAAGGAGAAATTTTTCTGAGAAGTACACGGCGCATTGATTGTCGTAAATAACAGGGCACAAAGCAAAATATGTATATGCTCTTTTTTCAAATTAATTTTGGCTCGCGTACAAACGGAGTCGAATTGTTACATATTTATTACTAATTATTACTAACGTTCAATTCTCGTTATTTTTACGAAGCTAAAGTAATTGTCCCGAGCTTACTAAATTAGACGTACAAGACAATTTCTTGAATATGTATTTTCCTTTCTCTACATATATATATAAATATACATGTATAATAAAAATCAAATATCGCTTGAATTAATTTGGATATTTTATTTCCTTTTCCCGTTCTTTCTACACATCTATTCCAGTATTATTTCGACTTATTTGTGAATATGCGTTTTATATCATTTAATTTAGTCGATAATTATGCATATTTATACATAGGGAACTTATGGACAGCTCGGAAAAATATGTGTGTTCAATTGAATTGAAACATTGTCTAATTTTTTGCAGAAAAACAATTTTCAAGTTTAAGAATGGGAGTTACTTGTCGTATTATCAAAAAGTGATTGAGTCGATATATTTTTTTAAATATTGTATCTTTTGTGTTCTGTATTGTTCTATAGAATTATGGAATTTTCATATCATTATTTGCATTTAGACATTTTTTCCCTTTTGTATGCAGTACACAAATACAATTTACTTTACTTATTTAATCTGTTTGTATATAAAAGAAAAAATAGTTTTGAATGTTGAGTTTTTAAAAATTCCAAGGAGATTGTCATTTTCATTTTCAGTTATTTTTTTTCGTTTATAATATGGCTGTTTGGAAACACGGTAGTTTTTCGTTCGACAGGAACACAGGAAAAATAATATGATTTGAAACTGCCTGATATAACTATTTCTATTTTCTGGGAATAGTAGTTTTCTATCGTTTTGTATGTTATATATAGTGTATATTATATATTGATCTTGATTTATAGTTTCGTATCACCTGTATTTATAGATAACAACATACCGCAATGTTTCCTCGATGGAGCTCCTGATCTTAAAGCGCCTGGAGTAAATTGCATAATGAAGGAAAACATAGAATCTGTGTTGCAGCTGTTAAGACGTTTGCAGCCTATTCTAACGGGAAAGGCGATATCTAAAATGTGCGAGAACTCGAATGAGAAACCATACCTAACCGATGCGGATATCGTGGAGATGTTTACGAGCGAGAAAGTGGTAGGTTGATGGCTGGAATTAATTGCGTTTAATAATAATAATAATTGTAAGAATTGCATATCGATAATTCTCTTCGCTTCCAGACGAATCTTGAGGTGAAGGACGACCTGCACAGCGCGCAATTTTTAATCATTAAGAATCCGAAATGGGGCATCTCGCTTATCGATATAAGTGATGATAACGGAGCGACCACGGAAACATTGGATACTCTAGTAAGTATACTGGAACCTATCTTTCATTCTTTTTTTTTGCACAGGGATGCTCGCATTATCGAACTAATACTTATATTTGTTCGATCGTTGCAGGACAAATTATTTTCCGCTCGTCTGAATGGAAAAATTGGAATGGCGATTTTAAATCCTGAGCTGCCAATGCAATGCCTCGTTAAGAACAAACTTTTTACCATCTTTTCTTCTCTTCTTATAGTGGCAATCGGTAAAGTTCTAACAGACTGTTTATTTGAGAAAACTTGCTGAGCCTCATTCCGTGTTATAAGAATCCTGCATGCCATTGATACGATGCATGTTCATAAGATTATTATTCACTGCTCTTTTATGGTGTAATGTAAGCTATACTTTAAGTATAAAGTAATTGCATTTCAAAACGATTTATATGCTTTGCCAATATATAATTTCGTCTGTATACTGTCGTAAACTGGAATTATTTTGTAACGAGGCATTTCTTTCTTTGAATTTTGAAACGCACTGATACTGCCGTATTTTTTATATAGATATTGAATGTATAATAAATATTAATGTAAAAAGAGAAAGAAATGCAAGAAATTCACTCGCAAAGTAATATCTGTTTACGATATTGCAATGCGTAACATAGGCAGAAATATATGTGCGGAAAGATTTATAATGGTATCTGTGCATTTTCAGTCTTATTAACAGGTATCGGAATTTATAAATCGTATCTTTGGTATCTAAAATACAAGAGATCTACCGAGAGAGAGGTATTTAAGCTTGTTAGCGATATCATAAGTATCGTTGAGACGCACCATCAGAACGCGTCCGCGCAAGCCGGCGCGCAGGAAAGTTTCCTTGCCATAAATCACGTGCGAGACAATCTTATTCCGCCGAAGGATCGTAAAAGAATGACTGCTCTGTGGGAAAAGGCAGTGAAGTTTCTTGACGAGAACGAGTCCAGGTAAAAAAGGACTCCTTTCTCCTTTGCTCTCCGTTTTCATATTTTACTTGCGGATAAGTAACGGGATACGATTTTGAATTCTTTAGAATTCGAAGAGAGGTGCAGCAAGTGGCAGGCGAGGAGTTTCACGTCTGGCGATGGTTGCCGAATAACGCTTTGAACAAATCGCCCGTGCAAAGCGCGGCTCTGGGCAAGAAGCCGAAGGTCTGGCAGGGACAAGCGTTCGAAACGATGGAGGGATCAGTTAACAGCCTGACTTGTTCGCCGACGCCTTGCCTGAAGATCAGGCACATGTTTGATCCAGACATGTAAGTAGTATATGCATGGGCACACGGGTCTACACAATCTAAAATCGATAACACGGATGACTTAAGTCGCGCTTTGTGCTTTGTACGATGTAGCGAAACCGAAGACGACTGGGAGACGAAAGTGCAGGACGCTATTTTGGAGAAGTGCGGGGAGGGTGTGAAGATACTTCACATTCGAGTAGACATCGGTAGCCGTGAGGGTTGCGTTTATATGAAATGTATGTCGCAGGAGGACGCTGGCAAAGCTTACAGGGCATTACACGGTTGTTGGTTCGATGGTACGTCACAAGCTGCAAATTCCCAGTTTATTCTCTAAACTTAATCCTTGAGCGCTGGCAACCTTGTCTCGCGTAAAATTTTCACAGAATTTAGACAGTATTATTGAGAAACATTTATGAGACATAATATTAATGTAAAAATGTTAAAGACACAAGTATAATTTCTTATTTTCAACGATATAATTGTTGTTACAATCTGCGCCAGCATTATGCTAGTTTTATATCGATTTTTGTGCGTACACTGCAATGTGCTCTTCAAATAGATTTTTTTTTGTTTCTTCCACAGGTAATTTAGTGACTGTGAAGTACCTGAGATTAGAGCGGTATCACGAGCGATTTCCGGACGCCGCCCGCTGCGTAACGCCTCTCAAGCCGAGTAACAATCAACGATTGTCCATGCAGGCGCACTACTGGCAGAGCCCGGCGGAGGCAAATTAAAGTTCGCACATTTTTATTTTCGGACATTCGAAGGAGCGCGCGAGCTCTCTCGCGTTTTTAAACGTTTAAATCACACAAATTGTCGCTGCTGACCGGAAACATACGGAAACTGTCGTCTTTTTATTTATTCCGTGATAACATACCTACGTGCCGTAACAGCGCAAAATACATATGTTGTAAGGTTGAAGTTGACACTTCTATTTCACAAGAGCATTTTCTTTTAAATTCGCTAACTTGTGTATTATAATTCTACTTTGTATCTTTTATGAAACAAGAGAAGGAGGAAATATGTGTTTTTAATAGTTCAGTAATGATAATAATTATAATAATTATAATAATATTGATAACAGCACACATACATACGTACATACACACACGCATACACACAAACACGATAACATTAATATATAATTAAATATGCTTTTAAAAAGCTGTAAAAAATATTTTAATCTGAGTTTTATAGTATTTTCAAGTAGCAATATATGTGCGTAAGCATAACGTACATCGCATTCTCTATAGGCCTATCCAGACTAATTAGCGTCAGCTATACGAAAAGCGTACGTGCAGAGAAATCGATCAATCGGCACATCTGATAAAAAAAAAAGAATGAACACGGCAAATACGATTTTCCTATACATTAGGCTTTCAATCGCGTGATCTCTCTGCACGTACAGCCATGCCATCATTAATGAAAATATCGATTTAATTATTTAAGATTACATTAACAAATCCCTTTTTTAATCGCATAAGAGAGTTATTTTTTACGATGTATCATAAAAAAATGTACAGTAAAATAAGATTAAATCACTTTGTAAAAAGATATTGAGTTAAATGATGGATACGGAAACTGGATACGTTGATAGTTGCAGAGCAATAAACTGCAAAAAAGGGGGGCAATTATGAAAACTATTTGAAGTATGTGTATACGCACACACCCACGCGCACAAATTTATTATGCTAAATTAAAGGATATATATATGATGAATAAAATAAATTAGAAAATTACATAAGTAATCTAAATACTAGCAGATAAGTGCAGAGATAATTGATATTACGTACCACCCGAGTTTGAGTATATCGCTGTAACGCGACATTAATTTTGCAGCTTATAATTGTCCCAAGTTTTAATTCTTCATGATCACATCTGTAATAGTCATACCGGAGCGCGCCGGAAGCAAAACAATCTCAGCGCTTTTAATCGGTTGTCATATTCACAGTTTTCATTCTTTGAAACATTCTTGAAAAAATTACTGGACATATATACTTTAAACATTATAGAACACAGAAATACAGCGGCTTTGTAAAGATATTAATTTTAATATATTAAAAAAAATAGGCGAAAATAACAATTTTTAAAAAAGTTATGATTTAAAAGAAGTCATAACTTTTGTAATTTTTAATTTTTTTGATAAAAATTTATAGTTATACTCTATAGATATGATGTATTCAGAAAAAAATATCATTTTCAGAAAAGAAGTGTGAAATTATTGTGTAAAAGAGTATTTATTTAGTACAAAAATGATTATGCTAATTCTTGCTTGAATTTATAATTATAATTAATCGTCATAATAATATATAAACAATAGAAAATTCTTCAAATTTTTTTTTTTATAACGAGGCGATAATTTACGACATGTTTATATTAAAACATTGTTTTATAATAATTATGTTAACTAAAAAAACGTATACACAAATTATATACCCGCGTTGCAGAAAAGTGAATGTTGCTATGTAGTTTACAACTACTTCTTCAGAGGGCGATAGTGCACAAGAGCATTTTGAGGTAACAGGCCGTCAGTCCTCTCAGATTTCTCTCTGCTATACCATCATGTTTATTTATCATGCGTTCCTTATCGAGTGTGCCACAGGCTTTCTACTTCCCGCGAATCCCGCGAGAGATCGTCAGACTCGTCAGTTGACGACAGACGTTTTCGGACTTCTCATAATATGCGAACGTAACCTCGAGTCGTCGAGAAGGAGGATTTATGTCTGCTCTGCCGAGAGTGACTGCGCGATAAGTGACGGTGTGAGCTGTAAAAAAGGACCGAAAATGAAATATTCCACCTCGCCGGCGATCAGTCGGTGTCACTCGCCTGTTCCGACAGAATTCTCGTCTTCGCTGCCGACACCGGTCGTTCACAGGTAACGTCATCCCCGCGGATATGCGTCGTCTTTCGTAATTTATGATTTAAACAATATCACCATCTTCAACGTATCCTAGTTTCTGTTTCACTCTGTTTAACTCAACGTCTCTTTAAAAAATGACTTGATCTTGCATGCATTTCATTAGCTTTATTATTACATTTCACATTATTTTTCGCTTCGAGGTTTGATTGAACTCGTTATACTTGCAGACACAATTGTATGGGCGCGGCGACAAAGTGCTACAAATACCTGAGGAAACTGCTGAAGTTCGATCAGATGGACTTCGAGTTTGCTGTTTGGCAGATGATCTTTCTGTTTATATCGCCGCAGAAGGTGTACAGAAACTTCCAAAACAGAAAGCGTATGTTGCTCAGCGTTACGTACACATATACTAGTTTCATATACATTCTAGCCCATACGTCTGTGAATTCTTGCAGAAACGAAGTCACAATTTGCGAGGGACGACCCTGCGTTTTTAGTGCTGATAACATGCTGCTTCTGCATATCCACCGTTGGCTTCGCCATAGTACTGAGTTTAAAATTCTTCCAATTTGTAAAGTTGTTATTTTACATGGTTTTCATCGATTACATAGCCATTGGACTGTTAATAACAACGCTATTCTGGTAAGCGTATTAAATGTCTTCAAGCTGCGCTGCTTTTTAAAATGTAGCCATTTTTAGCGACAGATTTTGATGTTTCAAATTTGTCAGCTTAATTACTTGAGAAGCTGTCTTGGGTTCGTATTGAATTTTCAATTTTATGTATTCTTTGTAGGTTTGCAGCCAATCGGTATCTCAGGATAGACAGAACACAAGATGTCGAATGGGGCTACGCGTTCGACATCCATTTGAACGCGATGTTTCCTTCATTAATCATACTTCACGTCTTTCAATTAATTTTATACAATGGTGAGCGTGTTTTCGTATCGTTTCGTACATACCTGTCGAGGTGTACCGTTGAAAACTAATATTTCGTTTCACTTTTGCAGCTTTGATAAATAACAATTCGTTTTTTGGACGATTCCTTGGGAATACGTTTTGGTTTATAGCTATCGGTTATTACATTTACATTACGTCTCTCGGCTACGCAAGTAAGTTAAGAACGCAAGGTTTAGAATAATGCAAATCCATCCTCTCTCCTTATTGCTTAGATACATTTATCATTGTTCTCATTTCAGATATCGAGATACTCCATAAAACGCACCTGTTACTGTCTAGCCTACCTGTAATACTGCTGACATACGTTATTACATTATGCGCCGGTATCAATATTAGTTATTTAGTTATGGAGTTCTATCGTTATCGGGCTCTGTAAAATATTTGTATTAAATCGCTGTCCTGTACGTCGGACTAACACAAACACCTGATTGTGCAGTATAGAATTCTTTTATTCCGGATTTCGACGAGGACAGAGTTACCCCTTCTACTCAGGAATCTGCCCTTGATCTTTGGCTCTTATTTGCATTCTCTGTCTTCCTTTCGTTTTCTTGTTCCACGATCACGTGGCAAAAAGACGGATCAACGGGGAAAGTTTCAAGAGGAGAATCCGTTACACAGAGGTACAATTGTTTCCGAATAAAGATATTATTTGAAGGCTGTAGGACCTTTTAACGATTTTGCGTTCCACGAATGATATATTTTTGTTTGTTTGTATTCCTAAGAGAATTATCGAGTACTATATTTATTTTTTTGTTTGTATTTCTAAGAGAATTATCGAGTATATTTTTTTTGTTTGTATTCCTGAGAGAGTTATCGAGCATTGTGTTTCATATAGAATCTGTGTAGCAATAAAAACGAATTTTTATGCGAGAGTTTTATTACGATTCTATATATTCTAAATTCGCCAGTGACAAGGTATCGGTGATCTGATCATTAGCCGAATAAAGATATTATTTGAAGGCTGTAGGACCTTTTAACGATTTTGCGTTCCACGAATGATATATTTTTTTTTGTTTGTATTCCTAAGAGAATTATCCAGTACTATATTTATTTTTTTGTTTGTATTTCTAAGAGAATTATCGAGTATTATATTTTTTTTTTGTATTCCTGAGAGAGTTATCGAGCATTGTGTTTCATATAGAATCTGTGTAGCAATAAAAACGAATTTTTATGCGAGTTTTATTACGATTCTATATATTCTAAATTCGCCAGTGACAAGGTATCGGTGATCTGATCATTAGCAAGATACATTCAGAGAGCTGTACAAGCGAGATAACATTTATAATCCGATCTTTCTCTTTTGAACATTCAAAATTGTCTTAAACATTATTTCAAGATAAAAGTTTATTTAAACGTAAAATCAGACTTTTGTGATTTAAGACGATCTTGAAGAGGCTCGAATTGCTTTATATAAATATTATTATTATCGCTTTAAAATGGAAGCGATGGACAGTTTTTTTCATGGTAATTACTAATTACTAATTACTGGAAAAACGAGTGATTGGCTGAAGAAACGTTAAGTTTCCCCTCTGTCGCGACAGAGAGACTGATCGCGACTTCTTAATCCGTATTCTATGAACGAAACCAGCACCATCTGCAGCGGTAGGGAGCATCAACGAACTAATTGCTGCGCTTTAAATCGTGGGATTCGCCGTCAGTCTCCCTTCGCGGTTTTGTTTTTACTCGCTCGAGACGCTTTTTCTGTAAAATAAAATAGAATACGGGGAGAATAAGTGCGCGCGATGAGTACGCAGACCTCCTCCGTGAAGCTGAAAGAGCTGCGCCTGCCGATCTCGAGGGTGAAGACGATCATGAAGAGCTCGCCCAGCGTCGATACCGTCGGGCAGGACGGCTTGTATCTGGTTACAAAAGCCACGGTAAGGCACGTTTGGAGGTTAGAGATACGTTCTTGAAAAAAATACATTGTGACGATTTATTAATTTGATTTGTTAAATAAATAACGATCAATACATCCATTATTTTTATTCTGGTGTTGTTGACATAAGTCATGTGTACGTAACACAGAATATTAATATTATAGTATTGTATATATATTAGAAATATTATTTTCATTCAATATGATCTCATGCCTAATAATGTTAATTTTCATTTCATACATTTCGTCTTTACGCTTTTGAATTATATATGATTATTATTGTTCGATATTCGCTATATTAGAAATATTAACATTTTCATTCAATACAATCTCATGCCTAATAATATTAATTATTTCATACATTTTGCCTTACATTTTTGAATTACATATGATTGATTATTGTTCGTTATTCTATGGAACTAACACTTTGCAGGAGCTTTTCATACATTACTTAACGGAGGAGGCGCACATGCAGAGCAACAAGGGATCCTCTCTGGATTACAAACACCTGGCGGAGGTGGTGCAGACCAACGACACGCTGGAGTTTCTGCGCGAGATAATGCCGCGGAAGATCACGGTCCGGCAGTTCAAGGAGATGATGGCGGCGAGGGAGGCGTCCAACAGCAGCAGCTCCTCCGAGAGCAGCTCAGACTCGGACAGCGACAGCGACTCCGACACGGACTCCTGTTCGGACAGCGACGAGACGAAGGGCGACAACGGGAACTCATCCGGCAGCGAGCGGGAGAGCGAGACCAAGGAGAACGGCGCCTCTCATTCGGACAGTGAGAAAAGTGAGATCAGTGTGAAAAGTGACAGTGAGGAGAATAAGAGATGAGAACTCGTAGGATTTTTCTCTCCGCTTCCGACAGACTCCGATTTATTTAATAAACCTTCGATTTATCATGTCCCTTTTCTTTAGAAAGTTTCGCAGATCTGTGTGAGGTATCTAATGTGTTAAAATTGCGCGTCTACATTTACAGAGGCGTAAAAAACACAAACGCAAGCAACCGAATGGCAGAAAATTTTGGAACAGATCGCGAGAATTTATCTCGAAAGAGAAGATATTTTTATACGCTCGTAACACTGATGACAGTCACACTATCAAGATCTTTTTACACGTATCTCTTTTCTCACGCATGCATATATATATATATTTTTTGTATATATCACTCACGGCATCCATTATTCATGCATTCGATTATGCTAATCAGATTAATGTTTTCGACATTAATAATTGTATTTATTTATAATCATGCCTTAGAGTTGATTTTTATCTTTGATAATAATAAATTGATCAAATATCACGATGTCTCGTTTTATTTGGTCTTCAAGAATCTTGTAGTATACAACAATCAGAGGAATGGATGTACATTTTCTAAAATTTTGTACAATACAAAGTTAGCGAAAGTAGCTTGCGTATTACTTTTTGCATTATCGGCGTATGTCTAGACTGCTCTTGCTATGGTACATATGTTCAAGGCAATGGAAAACGTAGCAATTGGAACGTTATTCTTGATGTAATTTCGTCGATTTGGACGTTACATCAAAACCGTTCTCATTCAGCTTTAAAGCTAGGAAGTAGATCTCGGCCAGCGCTATGATCAGCGCGCAAATTATACCCAGGAGTAATCTGAATCCGAAGTCTAGGCCACCGATTATGAGTTCCACGCCGATGAATCCGAAAGCGAAGCCAGCTATCACAGAAAATATGAATTGCGCGACGGCGATCAGCTGCTTGTTTATCTGCTTCACTGCAAAATATAGAAGATGACATTAGAAACCCGCGCGTTAAATCGTCTTTTATAGGCTGCGGTCCGATTTATGCTCACAACGCTCTTCTGGAATCATTTCATCTCTGTTAATCGAATATTAAATAAAGACAAATGTTGCTCACGAGCGCTGTGAGCGTAAATCGGACCGCAGCCATAGACACGCTAAAAAGAAAAAAAATAGGTGGTTAGAAATATTCTGAAAAGACATTTTACTTTGATACGCAATGCTGTCCTCCGGTAGGAATTTCCGCACGGAATCGATGCTCTTCGTCATCGCCTGATATTCTCTGGCGTTCTGTTGCGCCGTTAACTTCTGCACTCGAGCCTCCAATTCCGGATTTCGCGGCGTCTCCCTCGGCGTCGGCAATATCACGTCGGAATCGTCGAGAAGTTCGTGCAGGTAGACCTTTACCGTCGCGGGTTTTCTATGCTCTTTCATATATTTATTCAACCATCTGAGGTCCTCGATTTTTAACGTGGCATTCGCGATCTCTCTCTTAGACCTCTTCGATTTGCGCAAGGCCGCGATGCCGTCCGGCGCATCGTCCGCGTTTTTTACATCGTGCAAGATAAAATCTATCAATTTCTTGGATGGTTTTATCGTTACGGTAGGATCCACAATCGACTCTAGTGGCATATCTAAATAAATTCAATATACACTTATCTCTTTTTTATCTTAAGGAAATGATTAAATTTTATATTAAAATGCTGAAATATTAGGAGAAGCAACGCGTAGATAGACTGAAGAATTATTATTATTCTTATGGCGTAATATGCAATTTCTTCTCCAGGTCAATATAGAACTCCTGTATTTCGTTTTCCTTCTCCTGGAAAGTTTGGTCCACCTTTTGACACTTGTCGCTCATATCATTTATGAATCTCTCCCACTCCTTCTTCCTAAGCAATCTGTTTTCGCTCAAAACGTTATCCTGTAAAGTCAAAGTTTTTACATAAGTGTCCAGCTATGTCTCGTGTTGCATGAAATAAACAAGAAATTATCAAAGGCTTAAGCACACATACGCTATCGAAATTTTCCTCCCTCTGTAAGACGCGGTTGCACATACTCAGCGCAACATCTACGTTTGCCTTGAGGCTAGGTAAGTGACAGTCGCCAAGTTGCTCGGTACGATCCAACTGGTTCTCCTTCAGCTCCGTCGTGAACTCGAGTATCTTGAACAGCCGTTCCACCTCCCTGTCAGACCTTTTTTCCTGAAAACAGACATAAATGTTTAGGATCACTCTGTTATGACTATAACACACTTGATGCAATTATAGTGTATATATATATATATATGAGTCTGATGAGTCTATAGATAATGAGTCTACGCTTGGCTTGAATGACAGTGTATTTAAAGATCTGTGATAAAGAAGAATAATGGAAGAGTAAAGAACAACGATGAGAAAATCTCAATCATTTTCAGATATATGGTCAAGAAGTTAAAAAATAATATATAACTCCAAGACAAGAATAATAGTAATAAAAAACAAGGTGTCATATAACTTTGTGAAGAGATTGAAGGTGCAAATCCACCAGTTGGTGGAGTAACACACCAAAAACCCACTTGATGCAACACTTTGAAATTAAAGACTTGACAGACAGTAGTTTATAAAATACAGATAAAAATTAACATTTGTTCTTATAAATTTAGATTAAGATAAAAATAAATTTTAAAATAAATTTAAAAATAAATTAACATTTGTTCTTATAAATTTAGATTAAGATAAAAATAAATTTTTCCACAGATTTATACAATCGATAATTAAAAGAGGCTCTTAAAAGAAGGATGTTGAAACGTTCCATTAAGCAGACAAGAGCAATTGCAGTTTCCACCAGCGTCTTTGTTTACAATTGAGTTCTCACGACTCGTAGGTTAGATTCGCGTATTTTAACCTCCATATCACAACCGAATTAAATTTCAATCGATTCTACGGACATGACGGTGATGCTGAGAATTGCCGAGAGAATGACGCTCGTCGTGTCGAGTCCGCGTGATCTCGTCGCTCACCTGAAACTCTCGCAGGAAAAACGTGACCTCCCCCTGGACGAACGGACGATGGTCGAACAATCTGCCCCAGATCTCGCCCGTGTCTGCGGAAACGCGTGTGATTCAGTGATAGATGCGATAATGCCTAATGTAAGTTAAGTGCGTTATGTATATCGTTCGCGACGGGTATACGTATGCATGCGTTTTAAGGTGATGACACTGTGTATACCGCACCTTTGATGACGGACGCCATGTCGGTGCCAGTGGAACGGACGGGGCACGTCGGTCACGTGACTGGCTGTACTACTGAATCGGCCGACCACGGTGCAAGTGGAAAACGTACGGCAAGGTCGGCAAGTCGCCGGCCGGACGGTGGCGGCGGTATGTCGGTCACGTGACTGGCTGCACTACTGAATCGGCCGCGGTCCGAAGGGAAAACGCCATCGAGAGTGGAAATTCTTTTTTTAGGAAAAAGATAAAAAAAATGCATTGTTATGATTATTCTGTCGTTATAGCGTAGTCGTTATAGTTAAGATAGTAATATTAGTAGTAATGCATTATTAATTTTGATAATGTATTTTTTATTATTTTTTTTTCCTGTCATTCTCGTCACGCCGAAAAATATAACTATTAGGGCTAACAATAAGCTGCGCTTAGGATTAATTGAATTTGGCAATTAACTTATTAACCAGTATTTTATAAGCGCTTCTGATTATATTATCTAATAACTTTATGTTGATAGAATTATTAATTTTTGTTGTTTAACACTAGAAAAGTGGAACGTCTTTTTAAAAGACACAAATAATTTAATAATATTTTAAGCCGAAGACAAAGAGAAACTTTACAATAACTTTAGAAAAAGTTATTGTAAGTGCATTTGTAAATATATTTTTTCAGGAAAAACAAAAGTGTTATACGACACTCTTTTTCTCTGAAGCCAAACATCGTATATAAAAAATGTATCGTTTTAAAGCCATCTTGTGCTTTTATATTAATTCAAATATATAATTTCGGTCTCTCGTAACTCTCTCTATTTTTTCAGAGAGAAAATTATTATACGCAAATGAGCGTAAGTTTTTTGAAAAACTATAGTTTCGCTGTTATAAACATTTTTTATTAACGTAAATTTATGTGTGCAGTGTGTATGTCTCTGTAAAATTTAAACTCAGTTGAACGTGCTAATGTACATTAATGCGCATTAATGTATATTAAAAGCTGCGATGATAAAATATTAATTAGCTGTGTACAAAAAAAGTACATGTATAATATATTGAGTATTCCAACACCTAGCGTATCATATCTTCTATTTCCATATGCTATTTTATTTATTTTAAAATTTACTATAAACTCGGTTGAACGCGTTAATGTACATTAAAAAAGCTGTGATAAAATATTAATTAACTGTGTATAAAACAGCACATCTATAATACATTCAGTGTTTCAAATTTAGTATGTACATATACATACATACATATATACATATATACATATATATATCATGCATGTTTTTTGCTTCCAAATGTTTTTTCACTTATTTACGCTGCAGTTATTTACATATTTTATTTATTTTATTATTCTGTTAAATTGATTTTAAGGCTAATTTGCAGAAGAATTGCCTAGGAAATATTTTTCGACGGGCAAGTAGTTCTGAAATTAGAGCGATCGAAGATCAGGAAACCTTTGGGCTTCGAAAGATGTAAACAAATATTTTGAGCAGACGTTATGGGGGAAAACAAAAATCGATCGATAAAATAGCAAAACAACAATCCCCATTGTGCGTGCGCCCTTTTAATGATGATCTCTCCACGTTAATGGAGAAAAATTTCGCGTATTTATTTTTTGGCAATGGCCGATAACGTTACGCTGTCGGCGAAACGAACGCCCGGCGTGCACGCGCGCTCGACGATAGCGGGCTCCGGTTACAGCGACGACGATGGCGATTATCTCTGTGGGAATACCGCGGCTTGGGTATCGATGTAAAATTCGAACCGCTGCGAAGAGGACGCCCGCGATACCAACAATGGTATCGCGTGATCACGCGTTGCATTCCGTCGAGCGCACTTACGTGCTTATATGAAAGGGGGAGAGGATAGGGGGAGGGTAGTGATTACGCGAGTCTACATATGCCGCGTGCCGCACGATCGCCCGCGATAATCGCGGGTAAGGCTTATTCGTGATCGGATCCTCGAACGCGAGGTGTAAATTAGTAAGGTGCAATGAAAGCAGCGGGACAATTCCTTCTACTGATGGCGATTTTGCCTCTCGCGAGGTAAGATAACAACGTCATGCAATATCTGAGTATTTTTGCTTGCAAAAGAATCGATTGCAAATTTTTTAATATATTAAGTTTTAATTATTATTACAATTGTGTGATTATATTCGAATTATAAATGGAACAAAATTATATACCATAATTAAATATGATTATATTTCGAAGTTATCGAAAGTTCAAAACAAAAATGCATCTGCTAACGCAATGCAATAATAGTCCTGATAATATGTGGATAAAATGGTAATTTCATGTTAATCATAAAATTATTAATTTAACATAAAGTATACGCTTTCTCTTGGAAATAATTGACATAGTAATTAAATTAATTCGTGAATCCAATAAATTTCTTTGAAGTGTACAATTTTATTCTCGCGACTGATTTCTCACGGAGATTATTGCGATATTGTGCACTTTTAAAAAATTGTACTCTTTACCAGGCAAGAGAAAGTCGCCGAGGGTGCATGCGGTTGCGCGGTGTTCCCGGTTCCGGGAACGAAGTCGATAATAGAACACACGCTGCAATACAATGTGAGCTGCGACCAGGAGGGCACCGAAAAGTGTCAACAATTATGTATCGCCTTGGTGAGTGCATGTTTTTCTCTGCTATTTCCGCCTGTTCGCATCACTTCTTCAATAACTACGCTACTTTCCAATCGGGAATATACGCGAGTCATAAAAATAATTTTATGATTAGATAGCAATCGTGGCATTATACTTTATTTTATTTTCGACCTATTTTATTTTCGAGATTAGCTAAAATATATAATAATCTTCGATTAGTCAAAATATATAATTGCTAATCGATATAATATTTAAATGTAATATTTATAACGGTTACTCGAAGAAAATAAAAAAAAAATGATATTGATGAAAAAAACGAAATTGATGCGTTTCTGTGCTTAGGCCGAAAGTGCTCGGGATAAGGCACCGACGCTGATTTGCGAGAAGCTGAATAGCCATGTCGAAAATCTGAAGGTGAGCGCTAGAATGCATTTTCTATTACAGTATACATGTACAAGATTTAGTATCGGTTGAAAAAGATCTAGAGTGGAAAATTGTTTCCTACGCTTTCTCTTTAATTCTCATCTTCGCGTAACACGGCAAAGTAAGCACGTAACACGTAAATGCGATTGTAGTCACGTTTGCGCGAACGGAAATAATAGAAACATTATTTCACGCGAATGAAACGTGACCGCGCGTCACTTCGGCTATTTCGCTCTCTTGATGCTTTCCTTTTTCTTTTTTTTTTTTTTAGGTGGTAATTTTCGCAGTAATAAAACGATGCGTTTTACCGTTTCATCTTTTTACCTTTTCCCACAGGTGGCTGTATACATGAAATCGTGTAATATGGCTCTTTGGACGCCCACTGGCTTGGAGAGCACCGAGCCCATTTGCTGTCACGAAGAGAAGGCGATTATTTGTGACGAGGCGATGCCGATAATAGAGAATTAACGAGCTTGCATCCAATTCATTATTTCCCGCTTATTCCCAACCCGCTATAACGGGTATCTTACTATTGATTACGTAATAACGCGCGGTGTAATTAATATACCACTGCCTGCTACACCTACACACGTTAACGCGCTATATATGTACGCGCGTAATAATTTCTCGCCCAATATTCGCAAATTAGTAATTTTCTGCGGATTTGCAAGATCGCCGTAAAGAAATATATATTGTAGTTATATATATATATATATATAT